TATATATATATATATATATATATATATATATATATATATATATATATATATGACCACAATCTTCAATCGTATTTTCTTCATTACACACATTTGTGTGATGAGCAGCAAACTAGATGAACCCTACAGTTGTTAAGATCTATAGTTCAGTAATGAAAATTGGCAACCTAAGCCCCGGGTTATGGAGTAGTGAACCACGTAAGGTCCCGTTGGGTTAGGCGTGGTACTGAATCGGACGACAGAAAAGCATCCTGCCACCGAAAGCAACCCATTTTTCAACTGTACTGCAATAGGCCATCCGAGCGTTTTAACATGAGCTTTTTACTTCACTACTGCCTCAAGGTGCCATCTCTGTGTGAACCCTACACCATATTTATACTGTTCCAGCGTTTGGTATAATTTGACCTTCTCCCACACGGCTGTTGCGTTCTATAGCCTTATCATTTTTGCTTTCTTATTTCTGTCAGCTACGCTCCATGGTGTCCCGCTTGTCGTCAGTTCGGTCCAATTTGGGAAGATTTCTCCCGTACACCAAACATGGGCGTTCAGATTGCCGCAATTGACGTTACAGAAAGCCCTGTACTGAGCTTTTTATTTTTCATTAATCGTTTACCGACCATTTTCCAGTAAGTTCGGAGGCGTTAACCTCCATAGTTTAAAAGTATCGCTACTGGGTTGCTGTTTTTAATGTAGTTTGTTTTCCATATTTCGTGACTTATTCGCATCTTTGTATGCTCAATTTTTCATCAACGTTTGCAGTGCCAAGAATGGCGTGTATCGACAATACGATGGTTCCAGAACTCTCGACGATCTAAAGACTTACGTTTTTGAAAACGGTTACACAACTGTCACCCCAGTCCCATGGTATTTTTCACCGTCTTCCAGGCAGTAAGTATGGACGATTTTCCTTCGGGGTATTTTTTAATCGTTGTTTAGCATGCAGTTCTTCTGTCATTTTATGGATCTGGGATTAGCGATCACAGTAAGACTGTACAGCGATTGTCTATCACTTTTCTTTAGCAAACACATCAAGCCCTTGTGGATGCCGGTTATCCGTTCTATCTTTCACTCATTATGATCGCTGTGGGTACCGTTTGCGTCGGTCTAATTTTGGGTGTGGTAAGTCATTCTGCATTTTTATTATGCAAAATCTTTATTCTTATAACAGCTGCTCGTTATACTATGTGATTGCTGCTGTCCACCGAGACCACAAATACTACGCGTTTTCCGTGACAGGAGTCGGAAACCCAAGTCAGACGATTCCAAAGTATGTTTAGATCATTTTGAAGTAACAGCTCAAAGCGATTTCTTCACTCTTATAGTGGTTTATTGTTAGATATGAGCGCTATTTATACGTCTTCGTGTTTCTTGCAGGTGACTACTGCGCTGTTCCATCATGTTCCAGATGGTATTCTCCGCTAACGGCCAATTATTGTGCTATTCAAATTGAATAACTTATTGTCAAGTGTGAAATCATGCACCGGCATAAAAACAAAAGCTGTTGAACTCTTCAAATAGATAATTTAATGTACCACTAATGGAACTGCAAGGTTGATTCGTCGTACTTTGCGTTGACTGCAGGCGGCTAGAAACCATCAAGGAACAGATTCTTTTTCGTTGCTCAAAACAAAACGTCTCTTCCAATTTCCTGAATAGGCAGCATGCTTTTCGTCATTGAATCTTGACTCTAGTAATTGACAAGTGAAAGTTCACTCTTTCACCCAAAATCTAGCTCAGTGCGCATGTGTTGCATCGTCCGGATTAATATTGCATTCATTCTGATTCACGTTGTTGATGAGAATGATTCAGCTGTCTGTTGGCAGACTGGGTTAATAAAACGGTGTTATCCCATCTGAGTAGTATCTTGCCCCATCGTTTCATCACGTTCATCCCGATTACTGTTTAAGTAATGAGACCTCAAATCATGCTGCAGTTTACTCGAGTCGGATGGCACGTGACTGGTCGGCCTCGCTATCCGCTTCATCAATATTGGCAGGCCTAATGTTTATTGATCTGTATTTCATCCGTTGACCTGTAAGTCGTCTTGACATAGTTACAGTCAACTGCTCCAGTTCAGTGACCTGTGTTCTTCACAAACCAGGAGCATGCAGTTTATAACGATCTGGCGACGGCAGAAAATGAATGTTGCAGTGGTATTTGTCCCTGAGCTATTAAGGCAACAACAGGAACAATTTGAACTCTTGATTTAACGGCTATCTGTGCAACAGGGTGGTGATGGCGCAGTGGTTTATTCGCTGTCGCCGGCGTGCTTTGGATCCTATGGTCCGAGGTTCCAGCCCCGCCATCGCCACCCGACTTTAGTGGTAGGCAGCTCTGCTGTCGTCCGGTTCAATACCACGCCGAACCTATCGGGGCCTTGTGTGGTTCGCCACTCGAAGTCCCGGCTTAGGTTGCCGGTTACCGTCACTGAACAGCAGGTTCTGGTGACTATGGGGTTCGCCCCGTCTGCTGTTCAACACACTTAGATGTGTAATAAAAAAAAGATAACTCAAAGGTTTCCGCTGCTGAAACACTGCTTTTAAGCATCAATGAATTTCATCATCAGCCTGATGATGGGATCACTTTTGATTCGTGGTGTCGCAGATATGAAGACGTACTTAAAATTGATGGAGCTTCTCTTGATTAGGCTGTTCGTGTTTGACTTTTACTTCGTACATTGAGCCCAGTAGAACACGAAAAATACTGTAATTTTATCCTCCCTAAACGTCCAAGAGACTTCAACCTCAAAGAAACATCTTAGCCCAATCTTTGGTGAAAGGTCATCTTCGTGCAGTATACACTATCAATGCCGGTGGCGAAGATATTGTCTCCTACTCAAGCCGCGTTAATCGCGAATATGAGCCCTCCAAAATCAAAGACTGCACAGATGATCAGTTCACAACTCATATTTGTCTGTGGTTTTCACTGCCCCACTGAAAGCGACATTCGTACACGGTTATTATTCAAACTGGAAACTGACGCGGAAATTACGTTACAAAGTTTACTGATGAATGCCAGCGTTTGATTAATTTAAAACACGATAATAAGATGATTCAGAAAGCGAGAAACCTGCCAGTTACGGAAGAGAATGCATTGACCAAATTCGAAAGACGGCGAAGCGGACCTCTTACCTCATGTTGGCACTGTGGACAGTAACATACTTACAGCAAGTGCAGAATCTGTGGTGTGGTTGGTCATAGAAAAAGTATCAAAACCGTTCCATAGTGCGAGCGCCAAGCATCGCAGTTAATGAAACTTCTCCTTTTCCATGAACGCCTGGATTTCAAAGGTCGTTAAAAGTATATCCCGGTTCATATCAACAATCGAGTAGTCAAATTACAAGCGGCTACGGCCTTTAATGTGACGATCATCTCAACGACCTGAAATTAACTGGGCGGACCAGGTTTTCAGCAAAACACCCATCCGGGGAACAAATACCAGTTATTAGTCAATTCCGCTGTGAATTTTCATTTCCTGGTCGTTATTCTCGCGCGCTTGAAACATATCTAAATCTAATCATTTAAATTTACTTGGCATTAACTATAGACAAATTGAATTTTTGGTAATTTACGTTCCGTGAAATTTGTGTTTATTCTTATAGTCAAGTCAGCTGATCGATATTGTGTCAGTAAGAGGTGCAAATATGAGTATTGTCTCTTCTCGTTCAAAAACTGACTACCCAGCGTGTTTTCGGTAAAACAAATGCAAGTGCATACTGACCAGTTATGGATCACCAAATTGAACTCGAAGTTAAAACCTGCCGCAGTTGTTGAATGGCAGGTAAACTACTCTCTAGGGCTGAATCTCAGTCATGGCAACCTGCCGCGGCGCCCTGGTCACGCATTCACATTAATGTTGCTAGCCTTGTTGTTGTTCCAACGCGCCTTATAACTACATCTGCCGTCATAACAAATCTCAGAAGATTATTTGCCCAGTTCATGATACCGGAAGTCCTGGTTTCAGATAAAGGCCCATACCTCACATCTTCGCAATTCGTTGTGTTCTGTTCGTCACATACCGTCCGGCATGTTCATACTCCGGCTTATCACCCGCAATTGAACGGCCAAGTAAAACGATTCGTTAACACGTTTAGACGTTCTCTGATCAAATCACAAGGGAAGGTAAACTACAACAGTTTATTGGTGCATTTCGACTCCCAACCCAACTATCTGTATCTAATCTTGCTATGCATTTCTTCATGCCTCCTTTCCACATCACCTGTTGAACTTCACTTGGAAAACCAGACGCGGTACGATAGAAAAATTTTAAGCATATGCTATACGTCCTAAACACCTAAGTCTACTCATTCGGGTATGTTGTGACGGAATCATTCCCAAACCCACGACAGCTTACCCTCAGGTTACTCATGCGCTCGTCCCATCCGACAAACTTCAAACTGCGTAAACACCGGTAAAAACCTTAGTCGTTGATTGTCTTCTGCTCCCGAATTCAAGGTTTCGCTAGCTTAACTCTCGCGGTATAATATCTTCTGTACCCGAATCAACTGAGCGAGCTTCATCGTCTCCTGGTGTGCAGGGGATTTACTTCCAGGACAAATTTTCTGCATTTAAGTGGCCTAAACCACAAGTCATGATTTCACATCTTCGATGCGCACCGGACCTCAGTTCCAGACATGGTTTTCTCCCCCCTTTGATGAAAATCCTCGCGTTAGCGTCACCTATATTCAGGCTTCAGAAAATGTCGTTTATTTAGTGATTCGTTAATAACAATGCTGTGTAGCAACAGTGATCTTTGGCGAGTGAAAGGGAATATTGCGATTAGGAAAAAGGAAAAAAAGGTGGGTACTGGGTACAGAAGACAAATGATGGAATTTCCAAAATCAATCGAGTTCAGCTGATTGACGAAGCACCGAAAACGAGAACTTGATTTGCTGTAGGTGCCTACTAATTTTGTTCATTGTTGCACATTTCCCAAGGGTCGGGTTACTTCTTATAGTCTGCTTCGTTTTTGTTTTTCAAATGTGTCGTTCTTCCATCAATAAATGTTGTTATTTCCGGAAAATCCGGGTAACAAATTGCAAATACGTGGCCGATTTTCTTGAATCTGCTAAAGCTGTTCGTTTTCGGCAAATTCAATGATTGGTGGTGATGTCTGTTTGTAGCATGTCAGCCACGGTACCCTGTGCAAGCGCCATGTACCGTAATTTCTCTTCCTTTATTCCTATACCACGAACAGTTTTCATCATAATCGTTCTCGAAAATGGTGGTGCTAACCTGTCTCAGTTTATTTACGCTCATTTTCCAAATCACCAGGTTTGTTGCCCACAGGCTGTCCTGTTGACTAAAATCAAACAAGCGATTTCAACAGTCGTCGCTGGTTACTGAATTATCATATAGTAGTAAGGTTATGAAAACGTAAATATTCCTGTGCTGCTTCCCAGTTTAACGGATTCATGAAAAAAATATTTAAAGTATACGTCATCTGTCTGACCTCAGTTTGCGGTGTGAATTGATGCTGTTCACAAACAGACGACAGAGTAGTATATGACCATGCTATTACCCGGTTTAATACCACATGTTCTATTGAGGCTGTATGTGATTCGCCAATTCTGTTCTCAGGATCTTGCTTGCCTTGTTTCTCCTCACGTGAATAATGTTAATAGAGCTACTTGTTAGTCTACTGTACCCTTGCAAGTTCAAAAATAAAAAACTGCCTTCGGGATACTGAAATTCATTGGCTCGTAAAGTTTCAAACTAACAGGTGATTTTTTCTGTATTTTACTTCACATTTCTAAGAACGTGGATGAGGATGTGGATGACGATAAATCACAACAGCAAACAGTCGATGCAACTGGTGAACATGAGGACGAGGCTACAGTTCGCCATCGGACTGCGGACCATGACGTTTTGGAGTAAATATATGCCCGGTTTTCGAATTTCCCCGTATCCTGCCTATTGAACCTCACTCACTCAATTTTGTGCCAAGTTTGCTCGAGTATGTTGCACGTTTGAGTTTTTGCTGTTCCGGTCTTACTCAGTACCACTTTCGTTGTCCTTCTTATTTTGAGAATAAAAAAATATTCACGAGTAGACAGTTGTTTCCACTATTAAGTTAGGCCGATTTTGTGAATCCAAACGGGGTCGTCAAACGATATCCACATGAGTCATCCCAAGAAATGTAATTTTCGAACGTTTATGTGGTGGCTCGTCTTCCAACCTCGTGAAAATTTGTCTAAGTTAGGGCCAAATAGTGCCTTTTTTTTTTCTAAAAATTCAGTTTCGTGTTCGGTTCATAAACCCAGAGTGAGTAGAAAATTAACAATCGAGGGTTTTCACTAATTATTTTGATAAGGCGTGGGGAATAACGTCCTCCTGTGATTTGTTCTCCCTATGAACGCCAGTAAAGCGTCCTCTTTTGCCATTGATCTGCTCACGTTTCTTCCTTCGAACGGATTAGATCCATCGCTTTGTGTGATGGTTGGNGGTTGGAGGTACGAGTGAAGTTTGAATGCAAAGCAGTAGCTCTGCTGGTATATAGTGCCGAAACTGTCTTCATTTGAGCTCGGTAACTGTTCTCTTTCGCGTAGTTCACTCTAGGACTAGTTGTTATCCGTTGTCTGCCTTGCTCATTGTTCGCTCGACATGATCACAGTTGTCAGTTAAATGAAAATATATAGTATGTTTCGTGCACTTCGGTCCAAGTGCTCCCATTCTCCCCCCTCCCCCGGGATCAGATTGCGGGGTAACGTTACAACTATACATCCGGTTTGCACAGACTCATCATATTCCTTGTATCATATTTGTAGTCATTCTTTCATCCAAGTTTAGGTATAGTTGATGAAACAGCCACACTTGGTAAGAACTAAATACTATTGTGTACCTGATCGGAGACTGCGATACAGCACGAAGTTTTCTTGTAAGCTGTTCACCTGAGCATACACCCCATTTAATTTGATATATTTTATGAAGCAGATGAAAATCAAAAGAGAATAAATATCTTCAACTTATTGACCCAGTTTGTCACTGACGACTATAATTAGAACAGCTGGATTACTTTTTTGGTTAATTGCATTCGGTTATAAAGAATCCGTAGGAAGAGAGCCACACCCACCATGAGGAGAATGATCAGAGCGGAGGTGATGCAATCGTGGTCGGATTCGAATTCGACCTACCAGCCGATGTTCCGGTCATTGCCTGATAATCGTCATTTATTTTTCATCATGTAGACATCTGTTCTCATTTTTAGTATAGCAGCTACATATGATATCCGACCGCTGACAAGTTGATTGCCGTAGTCCGTCAAGCACTAGTGCAGTACGCTTCAAAATGGGATTAACCATAGTAGACTTGCATGCTTTATCCGGCGCAGTTGGTCTGTTATCTACTGTGCCATCACAAACTAGTGATGTATCACAGTATTCTATTACTAACTTATTCACTCTCTGTTGGGCGTTTTCGTTTTCATCAGTGATTAAGAATAGGAATAGAATACACAATAGTGATCCCACCATCACGCCGATTTTTCATCAACGACCCGCTGTCAGTCCTTGAACAACCCGGTACTTGGTCACTGGCCGCACTAAGCTTCCTGGATGGGGAACCGGGATCGTCGTAACCGGTGGTTAGAAACACCGAGGGATGTGAATGATGTCGCAAACTGGCATTGGTGCATCTGCTAATTATCCATGCAGCCTTCGTCCACGTGAATTCTCTGTCTTCTTTTTAATTCTGCTAGAAACATTCCAATCTTTCTTCCGCTCTTATTCCAAATTGGCAGTCATAGAAGAGCAATCAAAACCACCGCAAACATCACATTAAAAAATTTTTATTGCAAACTTTCGTGTGATGAAAAGCAGACGGGGCGAATCCCATTGTCACAAGGACCTGATGTTCAGTGGTGGAAACCGGTAACCTAAGCCCCGGGACTGTCAGTGATGAACCACATAAGGCCCCGATAGTTTAGGCGTGGCATTGAACCGGACGACAACAAAGCTGTCTACCACCAAAGTAGGGTGGTGGGGGCGGGGCTCGAACCATAGGGTCCAAAGCACACGTGCGACAGCGACTAAACCACTGCGCCACCACCACATGATGGCAAAATAAAACCCTGATGTATCGTCAACTCTGAAAGCTACATCGAATCCCAACGAGTGCTTTATAGTGATACTGTCCAGCGAGAAATTATATTCACATAGTCCACATCGACACTCACTCAATAACATGGGTATACGAAACACGAAACATGGTCATGTGTGACTGAATCGGTGACAGGTCAGAAGGAGATAGATTGAAATGCTGTGGACAGCGTGAACGATGCACGCGTGAGAGTCAGGCTGGCTTTAGACTTGATCGAGCTTGTATCGATCACATCTTCACTCTTCGCCAAACTATTGAGCACTGTCATTCTTTTCGTAGACCCGCCATCTCTGTCCTCCAGGATCTGAAAGCGGCTTTCGACTCAGTCGACCGTTTTAAACTCTGGCGCTGCCCTTTCCTGAAGGGTGTGCCCGAGAAGTTTATTTCAATAATACAATGCCTCTGTAATAATAGCCGAAGCCGAGTCTGAGCTTAAGGCACTTCTTCGCCCGAATTCACCACGGAAAGTGGTGTTCGTCAGTGTTGTCCAATCTCTTTCTATTTAACTTCGTGATAGATTTAATTCTTGAAGCAACTCTACCCTCGTGCGAAGATGGTGGCATCGATTTACTCCCAGGTGGCAAGCTATCTGATGTAGAGTATGCATACGACATTGTGCTGCTAAGTGAAGATCGAGGTAAGTTGCAAGCTTTTCTGGACAGCTTGACTGCCAGTGTAGCCTTGTTCGCTATGCGTTTTGCACCTTTGAAGTGTAAAATGCTACTGCAAGACTGGGTTGGTCCAACACCCAGCCTCTAACTGGGGAAGTAATAGAACAGATGGACAAGTTTTGCCAACTGGGCAACTACATCTCACCAGGCGGACGCATCACATATGAAGTGTCGGCGCATATAAAAAGGGCTCGGTTGGCATTTGCCAACTTGAGACATTTGTGGCACCGTCGCGACATCCGGCTGTCTCTTAATGTTCCAGTGTATGCTGCGGCAGTTCGTCCAGTTCTGCTACACGGTGCAGAAACTTGGCCATTAAGAAAACAGGACAAAGACACACTGTCGGTTTTTGAACACCGCTGTCTACGCAGCATTGCACGAATCTGGTGGGGTAGCCAGATGAGAAATGCTGAGGTTAGGCGCAGAGTTTTGAGTATCCGCGGTCGCCCACTGGAGCAAGTGGTCGACCTCCATAGATTACGTTGGTTGGGATATGTGCTACACATGTCACCAGATAGTTGGATGGGGACCTCAGGATGATGATACCCGGTGGTCAGAGACACTGAGTGATATGGCTGAGAGTCGTAAACAGTGACGTTCGTGCATCTTATCAATTTCTCTGCAACAATAATCCACTGAACTTCTGAATTTTCTCTTTGATCCTACTTTCAACCTTTTCCGTCTTTCGCCTCATGTACATCCGAATGGATAGCCGAAAGACAGCAACCAAAATCGGCGCACGATAGTGCATGGTTAATGGTTGTACAAGCTTAACTGAACGTGGACAGCAGAAATCTACGTGATCTATGTGTTTCAAAGATCTCTCCATTCTCTTGGTTACTACTCTTGATTGTCAGCTTCAGGTCAATTCGCGAGTACTTTTTTCCGCCTGAGTATTATGGTGATATTCGTATTTAACTCGCAGTTACTTGTGGGATAATTGATATTGATTGATTTGACTGACTATCCTTCGAACTTTACCTTCACGCACAATCCTCAGTTCTTCGATTCAACCATACACTCGGTAGCACTAGACTCGATTTTCACCCTTATTGGAACTCATCAGTAGTGCATATCTACCGTCCCGTCCGGGATTTGAACTCCGGACCCATCGCATGGAAGGCGTGTGTTACCAGTGTGCCAACCAGCTCATGCCATGATTGAACCAAATTGCCAATTCATGTTTGTTCAGGTGTTGTCTTCAGTGATATCAATTATCCCACACACACACACACTACTCTCAAGTAACTGAGTTAAATACGATCAATCAGGCCTTGTAGGTATGTGGCAAGTCAGCTGGTAACCTGCATGGAAGTCCTTGGTGGGAGGCTTTCGATTGGAGTTATCAGGTTGTACCTATGTCTCCCTTTGTTGCCGTCGGGGCAAATGAGCTGACTGAGTATCATTGAAGACAACACCTGAACAAACATGAATCGGCAATTTGGTTCAGCCATGGCATGAGCTGGTTGGCACAGTGGCAACACACGCCTTCCATGCGATGAGTCCGGAGTTCAAATCCCGGACGGGACGGTAGATATGCACTACTGATGAGTTCTAATAAGGGCGAAACTCGAGTCTAGTGCTACCGAGTGTATGGTTGAATCGAAGAACTGAGGATTGTGCGTGAAGGTAAAATCCGACGGATAATCAGTCAAATCAATCAATATTGTGATGATACTTTTATCAGGGCACATCGCACAATTGTGGAAGTTTTAGCATTCAGATGGAACTTCATAGATTGTTTTGGTTGCTGAAAGATTCATGCCAACCACATTTGTTGTGTTCCGGACACGTTCATTTGTCAGTTCGTAATGTGGCCTAGTTTGAAACTCGTGAAAACTGTTGTTCACGATCGTCGTCGCTCGGGGTCAAAACAATTTTGCCTTAAAATGCCAAGTGTGACATGTACGTGTTATGTATGCAATTTGATGCCTTGGTAGTATGCATATCACGTGTATCACGAAACAGTGCGGTATTATAAAGCTCAATGAGTTGTCTTGCAATGTTTTGAGCCCCCAGATTACGTCTGTCGTCAACTTACTTTGGACCCAATGCCATATTACATAAGCATCATTAACCGTTCCTGTTCTTTTCATATCGAAAAAGTTG